TTAGATAGATAGATAGATAGATAGATAGATAGATAGATAAGATGAATGGGTTTTGATAGATAGATAGATAGATAGATAGATAGATAGATGAATGGATGAATGGGCTTTAGATAGATAGATAGATAGATAGATAGATAGATAGATAAGATGAATGGGCTTTGATAGATAGATAGATAGATATAGATGAGATAGATAGATAGATGGGATGAATATGCTTAGATAGATGATAGATAGATAGATAGATAGATAGATAGATAAGATGAATGGGTTTTGATAGATAGATAGATAGATAGATAGATAGATAGATAGATAGATAGATAGATGGGATGAATGGGGATGAATGGGATAGATAGATAGATAGATAGATAGATGAGATGAATAGGCTTTGATGGATGGATGATGGGATAGATAGATAGATAGATAGATAGATAGATGGGATAGATGGGCTTTAGATAGATGGGGATGAAATAGATAGATAGATGGAAGATAGATAGATAGATGGGATGAATGGGCTTTGATAGATAGATAGATAGATAGATAGATGATAGATAGATAGATAGATAGATAGATAGGATGAAAAAGCTTTGAAAGATGAATGATAGGTAGATAGATGAAATGGGCTTTGATAGATAGATAGATAGATAGATAGATAGATAGATAGATAGATAGATAGATAGATAGATAGATGTTTGAATAAGCTTTGAGAGAGAGAGAGAGAGAGAGAGAGAGGACGTTCAAACCTTGCATAACTGTTTGAATTTGGGACTTCAAACCGGACACAACGATGTTTGGGCTTTCAAATAGTTCCGTCTACCCAATTTCATTCAAACGCCTAGTATGTCACTTTTCAAAAGGGGCCGCTTGCTTGGTTTACCTTCCCAAGCTTTTAATATCAGAAAGTCACCTTCCGGTGAAAAAGCAACAAGGTGAGTTTCGTTGTTTGGAAAGCAAATGACCTATCACTCTGTGACCCGCCGATGAAGTTACTTGCACCAGTGTAATGATATATGAATGAATCTCAAAATATTGAAGACCTGATTTTCCTATCTGTAACGCACACGAACTGTTATATAAAACTAACAACTGACAGTAAGTAGTCTCATGGGCCTCGTCATTAATTAATGAAGTCATTCCATTGAGTTATGTTGACATGAGAAAGAGTTGTAGTTCAAAGTGCGCGTCTGTATGGATTTAATTGGCGTTGTCAGCGCAAAGATGACTCTTTGTTCTGTAATCTATCCGATTAATGTGACATTTTAGTTGGCATTTTCTTTGCTTTTACTTTTCTCTTATAACAAAAGCTTAAAGATATTAAGATGATCTATATCGTGTCGTGACAAAGCCGCGAAAAATAGCTACAAGGATAGATAGCTGTCAGGGGAATTCATTTTTTAACGTTATATAATGTAGTATAAAATAGGTAAATTGTAGTTTCTCAGACCAAGAAGTACATTTACTACTATAGTGATTTTCCAAGCGTAGCTTGGATGTGGCACAAAGCCGAAATTAAGAGGCACCCATTGAGGATCGAACTCACTACTCAGTCGTAATTGTTCTAACGAGACAAGCTTGCTAACCATTACACCACCTTACTATAGGGTAAGACACCTGGTTACCTCCAGGCGGTGTAATGGTTAGTGAACTTGTTTCGCAAGAACATTTACGACTGAGTACTGAGTTCGATCCTGACTGACTGCCCACTACTTTCGGCCTTGTCCAACATCTAAGCTACGCTTAGAAAATCACAATAGGGTAGGAAACATTTTAATTTACTTCTATAATTAGGGGACACATTTTAAATGCACGTATATTGGCCTAGGAAAATTACATTGTGCACTGAATATATTAATGTTGTAACTTAGGGAAGGTTAGTGAATAGAATAATCAAACAAAGGTTGGTAATGAACGATAATACTTAAAACAAGAAAAACATATGATTTCCCACCTGCGCATAGAAGTAATCAACTGTTAGAAATAAGTAAACTGAATTCCACAATGAATCTCCAACGGCAGGATATCTACCAAGTGATCCACGCGTTCAGATGTGGCACGAGACCGAATTTAATGTGAACTATCCGATCCCGTAGGATCGGCCAAAAATTCCCCGTATAAAACAGGGTCAGGTAGCTGTTTCCCGAGACGAGACGCTTACTTTCCACATAGCCTCGTCTGGAGATCCTCTCTGCCCGAAGGCAGAGAGTTTGACCAGCAGAGCTGAAGACGAATCTCCAACGACAGACTATATTTAGTCGTCACCCCACGAGGGCGTCATGTGGCACAAGACCTTTTTAACGTGGGCATTTCCGAGCCATTAGGCTCGGCCAAAAAATAGCCCATTTGAACCCGTATACACGGGTTCAGGGCCAATTTTACCTCCCGAAGGAGACTCCGCCCTTCGGCGTAGCCTCCTTCGAGTTCCTCTCCGTCCGTAGACAGAGAGTTGAACCGAACCGTCGCTTAGAAAGTGAACGACAGACCAAACTACAGTATTTACTACTGTATTTATATAAATAGGGACATACCCATTATCGTCCGTGGGTATCCTACAAAAGTTACTCTCATAACTGATATAAAAGGGTTCAACTTATTATCAAAGATTTGAATATTACATACCTGGGATGGTCACTACCACGCGAACATGTACGAGCTTCCTTTCTCATTTCAAACACAGACATTATGAGAGTCCACCGTCATCAAACGAGATACATGTAAGAAATAGGAAAAAAATAGCCAATATGTTGAAATCTTGTATATCACTTATGTAATAAATATATTTATGTCTCTATGTCATTTTCTAAACCAAGATACTTCTGGTTTCCTACATATTACCTGTTGAAAAAACTTCGAAAACATCAATATCTCTCATACAAAATAGAAAACACAGCAAGCCAATATGTGTAGCATTCATTATATATCAGTCTGTATTTGAAAAAATAATAAATAAGACATTACTTTTCTAGCTTTATATCACCATCATCAGTATAATCATTATCATCAGCATCCTCAGTCCCACGATCAGATTTTCACTCAGCACATCTTTGTTGAAAGTCTGTGTAATCATTTAGGCATTAGCCCGTCTTGGGCAAGTTAACCTGAGACAGCGAGCAACACTCAATACTAAACAACAGCCCGTGCCTTTCCACTTGAAGGATCGTATTGGTCATTGATACGTGACCGTTGGTTTAATCGGGGGAAGGCTCCCTTGTGACCGTTGGCTTATGACAAGGGTAATCATCACTCAGCGGTCCCCTGTCATCACCAGATAATCTGCGTACATAGCTATGGAGCCAAGTTTAACCAACTATACTAGAAATTTATTTCCAGACTAGTGGTTTTATGACCTTTACTAGTGATATCTAATTTCATTTCAAGGAGAAATTATGGTTCGAGCAAAATTAAAAATGCCACAAGTACATAAATCACGACGTGATATCGTTAACTGAATATCTTTGGTTGCATATAGAATGGATAATTTAGTATAGCGGGGATTGGAAACGAGTTCGAATGCTGTCTGCGTATATATATATATATATATATATATATATATATATATATATATATATATATATATATATATATATATCAACTAGTGCCCATGAGAACATATACAGTGTGGGGGTATAAATTGTCGTTTAAATTACGCCTAAAAGAATAAAACTTACATCTCACTTTAACGGATATATTTGTGTTGAAACTTGACTAATGCATGGAATAATAATACAGCACAAAATGTACTTAGAACAAAATGTATTGAAACAAGAAAGTGTACACAATATTTACATATAGTCTTTTGTATATTCCTGGTAAAACCGTTCCTTGAGAATGTGTTGACTGAGTCACAGTCGGGCAGAGTCTCTGGTTGAATCTCTTGATTCCTCCCTCTTTTCCCGGTACCAACCATATTTATATGGTCGGTACTCCACTATGCAAATTAGGTGGATCCTACCACAACAATTTGCCAAAATTACACAGAAATACATTGAAATACTAAAGAGTAAATGTATTCAATAAAGTCGCCATTGGCTTCAAGCGCGGCCTCTGGGCGACTTCGGAATCTCCTGCATCTCTTCTGTACGGCCTCCTTGTTTAATTTGGTGAATGCTGCTATAATTTTTGCCTTCAGTTTATCTTTGGTGTTACAATGAATTTTGTTGGTTTCTTTCTCATCTACGCTTCACACATCTGGGGATTTAGGTGGCAAGATTTAAAGGGAGATCTGGTCACATAACTGGGTTCCCTTGCTTATCTGGCATGGTGGAGAGTTCTGTTGCCATACATAAGGTCTTCCAGCAGCAACCCTTTTGACCCAGGGCCGCACTATACCACTTCAATGTCATTGATGTATGTCTCCACGTTGAGTCTGAGGCATTGTGGGAAGTTGAATGCAAACATAATGTCGCCATCACTAGTAATCACTTCAAACACCTTCGAAATCACTAGTAAACTCATACAACTATTTACTGTGCATTCGCCTCAGATTAACATCCAATCACTCTGAAAAATTCGTATTGGAGAATTTCGGCGCGAATGCCAAGTAGTACAGAATGCCGTTTCGAAATTTCTGGCCGAGTGAATTGTGTCATGGTACTCCTTTTCTCAAGGACGCTGCCCAACAGAACCTAATATACTGTGCAGTCGGCAATATAAAACGACAACAACACGCATGCGCAAAATAAGAAATATAAAAAGGCGACAATTCACCGATCGCAGCATGTATTCGTCTATTTTTCTTTTGATACACCAGCAGATAGTGGGACAGAGATCTCATCACTGACATTCTTGTTTGACGAAAAAAGTGTTAGTAAGAATTTCCATTGTTACTCGTTGTCGTCGTCGTTGGCGGAACTCGTTGCTTAATATTGGGGTACTCATTGACAATTCCGTTGGATCTGAAGAGACGTCCGCAGCCACCACATGTGTAGGAAATAACTCTTACCGCTATTGGAATATTAATCAAAGAATCCGCCGTTTTCATGTAGGAAAATTTCGATATTCATTGATCGATAAGTCAGTTTTACTCTCACTTGCAATCCCTCTAGTTTTTCAAGACGTTATACTTCTTGAGTTCACTAAATATTATAGTACCTTCGAATACCGGTGGGGAATTTTCCTTCCAACATTTTGTCATTATTGGAATTTAACTTGATATGATTTGTTTCTTTTTACTTTATATCAGCTTTTTATGGGTCATTTAATGACTAAATTTAATTTTTCGGAACCTTTGAAGTGATAAGAAAGATTTTCTGCTTTCATAATATAATACATTGTAGATAATACTTAGCTTTTGTGGGGACATGATTACTAGCGGCATTGATATTGTGTTTTTTTATGTTGTAGTGTTGTTGAAGTTATATTTTCGAATACAGTTTGATGTCATTAAGTAATTGTTATATGGACTAATGTCATGAAAGAGTTCTTTAATTTTGGCTGTTTGGTTGATTTTGTTTAGTGTCATATCAACATCGAGGTGTTATTTAATTTAACACAATTTTATGGCCCCAGAAAAATATTTTTTAAATGTAATTGTATGTTTTCAACTACAGATAAAACGTATATTTGGTCAATTTGATATAAAATGTTAATTCTATAAAATTGTATTGATTGCCATTTTGCATTAAAATTGTATTTCTTTTAATTTTACTATATTTTATAAATTCATAATCTTTCTATTGGGTGGGAGGGGTTCACGGTTTGCCCATAGATAGGAGCCTAACAGTTGCTACCACCTCGGATCAGCGTGGACGTGG